GGAAAGACGCCGGAGCTTTGAAGACCGCTGCTATCGCGTTTTCGATCATGTTTCCCCACATATTACACCGCGAATTCTCCATGTGTGGTAGCTTCAGAGTTAGACGGTTTTTGTCTCGAACATGTTATTTTGTTTGCCCGTGCATTTATGTATTTATGGATTGATTTATGTAAACGAAAGTAAGACGAATCTTTGTGCATCTCCCCCCCCCCTTCATCACACATGCCTGTGAATTACTCGGTGCAATGCGTGTGCGTGTGCACGCGACCATGCATATGTACAAACATATATTAACACAACCAACGGGTAGGAATTAAAATGTTGTTCAGTTTGACGCTAAAAGTGATTTCCATGGAAGAAACCTGCCTTTCGTCGTTCGAGACGTTTGGTTTTCTTTCTGCCATTTTGAAATACACGCACGCAATATTAGAAATAGGTTAACAAAGGGAAGGGGGGAAAGAAAATACACAAGGTAAAATCTGTCAGTCTGCCTGAGATAAAGTGTTAAAAAGAAACGGCGTGGGCTCGGTGACAATTTCTTACCGGGGCCTGTGTTAGAATCAGCATAAGAGAGCGTTGTGTGGCAAGAATATGGTTTACGTGCTTTTAGTTATAGATCAGCACCCTCCGTGGTTATTTTTGAGAAAACATGGAAGCTTACATGGCAGGATTCATCGCAGTAGAATATCCAATAAAATACATTTCAACAAATCAGTGGAGTTTGTAAAATCTCTCCGTTTCGTGACCTTCGGGTCTTTTTCGAGTCTGTTGCCTTGGCCCAACGCTGACATACTGAAATTTATAGTCCGAGATTTTAAGACCTAGTTCGTCTGCATTTTTTGGCTTTTTTTTTCTCCCCTAACAAACACAAACATCAAAATAAGGTGGTTTCAAAGAAAAGCGCCATAGCATATCGTAAACTCATTAGGTCCAGACGTCTAGCCATCTCAATGGTTTTATTATACCGCGGTTCTTCCTGTTTTAAAAGAATTATAGGTATCTTCTCGACAATGGATGGGAAGCAATGCAACACCTTTTCCTGGCACCGCATGCCTTTGCCCTTTTTTTTTTTTTTTTTTAATAGAGGTAAAAAACATTAAACACCAGGTCTCTCAGCTCTCCCCTTAATCTTGAATTAACCGAACTGCTCGTAAATATTTACGGGTCCTTCATTTTAATGGTTGCTCTTTAAACAAAGCTTTT